CTGAAATTACTCGGCTTTATACCTTCCAGCAATGATGGATCCCATATTTCCACCCAGTTGGTATTGATCAATATCCGGGAGTAGCCGCTCGTAGTCGTGGGACCAGCTGCTGGCCAATACGAGAGGCTGCAACGGATATTGCATTTCTCTCTATCTCTCTCTCTCTCTCTCTCTCTCTCTCAAACATATCAAAACCTAGTATAAATGCTTACATTGTATTCCGAAACCTCTTTCGCATTAATGCCAGCATCGTGAAGCGCGAGAATTGTCTGCTCCATCGCCAATCGTTGATGTGGGTCCATGGCGAGAGCTTCGGCCTCCGGGATCTGGAAATGACGCCTAGAACCGTCATAAAAATGACAATCCAGAATCTTAATATCGACAAATCATTATCAAAATCTACTCACGTCAAAGTACTTATTATCAAAACAGTCCGATTGTGCGACAAAGCCGGCTCGGATGCCCGGCTTTCGTTTCTGGATCTCGGCTAGATGCTTGAAATCTTCCGGAATTGATTGAAGTGGATCCTGGACAACAAAAGATCAGAAAATTAACAGTTTTTTTGCAGCTATGCCTAAGCATGCAAATCGTTTTCTTACCCTTCCGGCCTGTGCCACTTCCGAGAACTCCTTAACATCTTCACACCCGGGTGCCCGGATGGAAAAGCCGATAATAGCGATGTCGTCACTGTCTTCTGGAACATGGAATATTTATCTATTGAAATAAATTGTTTATAAAACGCAACCAAACTGAATGGATCTTCTAAAAAATCGTGAGAATCAGCCAAATTCGAGCTCTATGGAGCACTGACCTGCCATAGCGGTTCGACCAGGCAGCAAAGACGTTGGAAAAGCAGCCAAGAATGGAAGTATTCCTCCTGAAAGTCTAATTTTTGTGGAACGGTAATCTTGAAAACAAATTTTGGAAAACCAATCCGTTCCACTAGGGCGATAGTGCATGAGCTCCAGCTCTGGAGTGCGCCCTCGGCGATTGGGGCCAATTTCGTGGGCCATTCCATGCGGAGGGAGCGAAAAACAGTAGGGCCCCCGAGCTGATAGATTCCGGGACCTCCAAAACCAAATCAATTTGCCCAAAAAATTCTTTGGTGCATAATTAAAAAAAAAGAGTTGGGCTAGTCTCCTTGTTGGTGGGTATCTCCCTCTTTGTAAATTTACGCTTCAGCATTTGCACACCCATGAGTTTTAGTAAAGGCTCTCATAAGTACAATGTAATGTTTTTCTAGGAGGCTTTATGGGATTCCAAATTTCTTTTATTTAGATTACATAACTTTGACGGGATCGGTCTCCCATCGATTTATTATGGATTGCATAATATGAATTGAAGACGGAAATTTTCGCGTGACAACAGATGACATGCCCATTCCAGATCGCAGCCAATTTGGGACAATCGGCGCGCCAAAAACACGAGAAAATAGTTTTTTTTACATAAGACCAGCTATTCGCCTTGCACCCAAATTATCCTCAAATGTTGAGAAAAGGCGATTTTCCCGTTACGGATCTCAGATTCCCATAGCCCAATTGCATCAGCCAGCCCGCCGGGCCTATATAGAGGTCGGATGCGCGCGGTTGTGCCATATTTTGGTTTCTGTGATCTTAATGGAACTTTTTTAGGATCGTTCTCTCTCTCCCACTCTCTCTCTGTCTCTCTCTCTCTGTCTCACTTTCTCCCTCTCTCTCGCTTTTGCGCTCTCTCTCCCTCTCTCTCTCGCGCGCTCTCGCTCTCGCTCTCTCTCTCTCTCTCTCTCTCTCTCTCTCTGATTCTAAAATCATTATCACCCGCAGCACTTTTAAAGGTGACCGGGGAAGCCCCTAAAAATCAGACCCCGCAACAAAGACGTGTTATCAAATTTTTCCGCGTGGCCTTGAAGCTGGCGCCAAACAATGGCCCTGTCTAAGCAATACTAAAACCTGTTTGTTTTTCCGGGGTCGATCTCGAGGAAGGGAAGAGCGGAAATGAGGCCATTTTTGGCAAGCTTTATCTTTTAAGGCGTACTGGGCGCAAACATTTTGGTGGCAATGATCGGGTTAGGGTTGAAAGCGATTCCTTCAGTCTTGGGGTGGCCCCCCACCAGTCCTTTTTCCAATCTGTAAAATTAGGCAGCTTTAAGCATTTCAGGGCGTTCCAGAAATCAATAAGGCATAGAATTTGACCCCGGGTGGTGATGCCAAAGTTCAGGCACCTCTCGAAACACCGATTTCCCGGGATACAATTTTTTACGGGTTTATTCCGGGGGCATATCCCTGTTTGTGACTGCCATCCATCACTCCATCACGGAATTTCCTTTTTTGCTCATCGTTCAATCGTTCAGGCAACCCGTCACGTGGTGCGTCTCGGAATCCGGGAGTTTGGTTTTGGATACAGTAGCCACGAGAACGTCGTATAAGTTGCGAAATTATTCGAAGGATTTGAGGACTAAAACTTCTTCGCTCTCTCTCTCTCGCTCTCTCTCTCGCTTTATCATGAATGCTCTTTGTCTCCTTGACTATAAAATGTATGTACTTTTCCTTGATTTATCAAGGTGACGGGATGTGTCACCACCAGAAAAACAGTGGCGAGTCATTTATTCCGCTTTGTTACACCATACGCCCCCTGACGCGCCCACACAATGATAAAGGGTATTGGTTTTTATTAGTCTATTTATTTTGAACATACTGATTCTTTAAAGCTACTACTAATTGGCGTTTACCGCCCGATTAACTGACCCAGGATGCTCAATTCGGTCCTGAGTGCGTTCGATTTTAGCAGTGCATTAAGGTATACCCCGAGGGTATGCCGCTTGACCTCGAAAAGCTGTCTTAATGTCTGATCTCCGGGAACAATCGGCAGGTGGCGGAGATCAAAATTCGTAGTTCATGATAGCCTAGCACTTCATTGTCCTCGAACTCAACCGAATTCCTGTTTTCCCCGGAATTTTTCTTTTTCTCCTACCCAGCCAGACAGCTTTTCCAATACCTGTCTCTCGTTTTAAGACCACCTTCAAGTTTTATTTTTTCGTCAGATCCGTGTGTTATCATTTTGTTCTCATGGTCCTGGTGTAACCGCCGCCTGCATACGGTCGTTTACAACTTCCGTCTACCTCATTTCACGGTCGTTTTTGACACCCCCCAGGTGATCCATTATCTTGATTTAACGCTTCTCTCTTTCTATCTCTTTCTCACCCTTTCGCACTGTTTCCGCCCCCGTTGAGTTTACAATCACTCGTGAAAAACAGCGTCACTGACCGCGGGTGTGACGTCCCAATTTGATCAAATTTGCGATCAAATTTGGCCCTAAATTTCTCAACGATAACAGGTAAAAGAGAATCCTTTAATCTGAACATGAATTTGCTAGAAAATTTGAAATATTGTTCTGATGTCCTTGGAGTGCAAAGGCTTTCGACAATGGCTTAACCTGATAACCGGTTATTAAGAGATTGAGGAGATATACCTCTAAATACCCTGTGTTTATGGTAATCTGGCTTCTTCTGATGGTATTTTAACGTCGCGGGGAGCCTGATCCGCTCAAAAGTGAAAGTTTCACCGTTATTCAAGCCGAGTCATTTGGCGTGCAATTTAGCTGACGTTGAAGTACGCAGCTGACGATAAAGAGACGGGGAATTTTCGTACTTGTTCATCCTTTAAAAGTTTTTTCTATAAATTCAAAGCTCATTGTACTAATGAAAATCATTTCTAAAATTTGGGGTTCAACCTCCCTGAAGGTGTGGAAAGCAGCTACGCCAGCCTCACCCAAAAATCCTTACTGTTTTTATGAATTATTTTATTGCTTCCGCTGACGCCATCATTCTTTTGGTCGCTCACACCAGCCCCCTCGACCCGGGCAAACAATGAAGCTGCCGACTTCCGAGGGGTCGCGGCACAAGCTCGATAATCCCCTTAAAAGGCGAGCAAAGCGAGATACGGCGTTTTTGGTCGACCCTATCTGCACGTGGTCCCACCGCGCCCCCGCCAGATACCATATCTCCCGAGGGGGGCGGCATAATAGGGTTGGTCACGACGTGGGCACTTCCTCTGGAACCGGGTGCACGCTGGGTTCAAAATTTCGTAGTTTTTTTGTTTAGGTTTATAGGTTCTCGGAACGTTATTTTTATCTAGTAGCAAAAATGCAGATTTTAAAGCGAATTTGGAGGCCAAAAATCCTTAAAAAAATAACGATATTTGGACGAATTGATAGTTAACGCGATGGTACAAAAACGCTTGTTAAAAGTTGATATAAGTGGCACTCAAGTTTGATTTAATTTTCATCGTGTTTGGGTTTTAATCGCGTTTTTTAGAAAGTTTCGTTTTGAGCTTTCTTCTTTTTTTTGGCTCACTTTGTTAAGCTATAAATTCCACCCTTTCGAAAACGTATATAGCTAAAAACAGCTATTTTCAAAGCAAAGATAAGCGCAAAAAACAAAGATACGGTACGCTTTGAACGAAATTTTTCAAGGGTTTGCGAGCCGTCCAAGGTTGCCTTCAATGATTTTTCCTAAATTTTCCCTAGTTGGTAATCGCAATTTCGTTTCGAAACAACTATAAAATACAAGATTCCTAATTCTGACCCCCTTCCGGTCTTCCCCCATGACGAAACAGATGATTTTTCACATTTTCCCAAAATATTGCACGCCATTTTTGAGGGGATGAGCAAGGGAATCGCCCCTCCACGGCATACATTCCCAGACAAAACCATGTCATAATTCAGAAATATATATTCCTACAGCGAGCGACCAAATGCCTCATGCAAACCCCGGAAACTTTTTTGCAAGAATCACAATTCGGGGGGCCATTCATCGGAAAAGTCGGCGCGGCATTGTCGTGGCGCTGCAAAATTTTTTACGTCGATACGGCTTACTTTTGAGTCGTGTATTCACTTGTTAAAATTATTCTGCCGTTTTCCGGCTGTAAAATATACTTGATTCTTCGTTTTTCTTTTCTTGGATTTTTAGATACCACCAAGTTTGCAAAAATAACGTATTTTCAGAATTCACGACAACTACCACGATGGTACAGAAGAAATTTTCACGCAGGCTTTCGGAATTGGTATCGAAGTACGTTTTGATTAATATTTCGGGTGTAAAATCCCAATTATAGACTTATTTAATAACCTTAACCTAATTTTAGAGCCACTTCCATCGATTTTGCCAAATTTGAAAACACGAACGAAGATGCGGAATCTGACGACGGCTCGGTGGGCCAGAAAATTCTAGAAGTTCAAAAGGTCAATCGACCTCCGATGAATCAGGTAAAAAATCCGTTAGAATACCGTAATATAAACATTTCAAGGAAGAGTTCGATGAGCGATTTGCATACGCGAAACCGGCAGGCGACAGCCAGCTGAAGCGGTCGGCAAAGAAGTTCTTCAGGAGGTAATATTTTGACGGTGTGTGTGGTTCTCTAGCGTACTGTCGGGTACGTGGCTTTAAAGGTACACGCAAGGCCGGGCGTCCCCACCGATTTTAGCCGCAGCCGCAACACCTAACGCGAAAGTTGCGGCGTCGATTTTCGCGAGTTGCGTATCGCGGTTTTCGGCAAAAGCCATAGCGAATCCAGATTCCAAATCCGTAAAATGCCTTGCCAATCCCTTTGAACCCATAATTTCTAGATACACAGCCCCATTCAACTCCTTCTACGCATTCCGGCACTTCCTGGTTTCTACCATTCCAATCCTGGGCTGGCTGCCAAATTACTCATTCCGCGAGGACCTGTTTTACGATATTGTGGGCGGGATAACGCTGGGGATAATGCATATACCACAAGGTACGGTAGTCAGGGCTCAGTTTAAAATCTGATGAATTTTTCAGGTATCGCCTATGCCGGCTTGGCACAACTGAACCCGGTGTATGGTCTCTACACTTCGCTATTCCCTGTTTTGGTCTACATGTGCTTTGGGACTTCACGACAATGCTCGATTGGTACGTTCAATAATACTTCATGCATTTATTTGGTTTAAAACACTTACTCAAGCCTATTTCCGGAAAAAATTTTGCCAATTTTGCGCCTGGTCGAGATTTAAGGTTTTTATAATCATGATAGTGACTCTGGATTTAAGGTATCTTCAGCCTTTTTCGTGATATCTTTTAAGCTGTCGAAAATAGCTTATTTTTTTTCTATTTTGTCATTTTTAATACGCTAAAAAACCTCGTGTAATGAAACGTTTTGCATCATCCTGGTTTCAAGCGGCTTTCCGGTTTTCTTTCGATTTATTTTGGCGCCATAAAGCCGTGAGATGGTGACAAATTGTAGCAACAAGGACGGCCGAAAAAACCGGAAGTGATGATGAAAAACGAAAAATATTGCCATAAAACAAACAACAAAAAATTTTGTGTAAAACTTACATAAAAACTTCGAACAACTAAAATTTTGGGTCCTACAATCCGTTAAAACGAGGCCTTAAAGAGATGAGGACGGCAGATGTTGAACCCCTCCTTGGGGAGGGGGGTTTCGACAGATGCAGCGACGAGAGAGGGCGCCCAGGGGAGCGGCGCAGAGACATTTTCTTTCCCGCGCGTAATCGATTGACTTATTCCTATCCCTTTAAGCTATAACGAATAGCAAAAAATGAAATGTAGGTGGATTTAATTCCTTTTTACAGGCTCCTTCGCCGTCGTCGCACTAATGACGGGCAGTGCCGTGACCCAAATCGTCAAAGACCACCCCGAATTTGCCGATCACAAGGAGCACATAACAGCCATGTTATGCATGGAGGCTGGGCTGATCCAGGTGCCACACTTCTCAAGCTACTGTAACCACCCACGAATTTCCAGTTCCTAATCGGCTTTGTCGGCCTCGGCTTTATCACCACCTATTTTTCCGATGAGGTCAGCTTGTTGATTGGCAGGGCGTGTGGAATCTGGAAATTCCTAGGTGGTGAACGGGTTCACGACGGGGGCTTCGATCCATGTGTTTTCGCTACAATTGAAGGACATGTTTGGCATCCATTTGGAGAAGACGAACGGGTTGGCGTACTTGCCGCAGGTGGGGGAATGAACTGAACGCTTCGAAGGCCTTGAGTACAGCTACTAGCCAGCTGAAAATTGGCGAAATTCTCAAATTGGAGTCTTATCATGTCGTGCAGATGTACGTCGAGCTCATCAAGAAAATCGGACTTGGCCAGACGAACTGGGTCACCTTCGGCGTGGCCATGTCGACCATCGTGTTGCTGCTCATCGGCCGCGAGTTGATCAACCCGACGTTGAAAAAGCGGTGCAAACTTCCGGTCCCGATTCCCTTCGAGTTGATCATGGTGAGCAGCAGTAAAAAAACGGAAAAACCCATCGAGGCCTAAGCGAGACCCCCAATTTCACCCGCAAAATTCGGCAACGTATTAGAAAGAGCTGATGTACTTGATTTGCAGCTTTTATTCAAAGTAGTAAATCTTTTTCAGGTCATTTTGGGCACGGCTGTTTCGGCCCTCCTCCACTTCCACAGTAAGCACGCCGTGAAAATTGTTAACGTCATTCCGAGCGAGTGAGTCGCTTTGTTTCCAGTTGACTGTGATCAGCGAACTTACAAGGAGTGCTTTTTTTAGTCATCGGCAAAACCTTACGAGACCTAGCTCCTCCGATAGAGAATTTGATTCTGAACAAGACCCCGTTGTCGTTTTTTGCGGAATGGCTATCCATATTTTTTTAAAATTAAAAACTAGTGATTGTCTCTTACCATGGGTGCCCTTCGAGCAAAAAGCGAGGCTTTCGAGTGCAGTTTTGAAATTTTATAAAATCAGGAATAGCCATTCCGCAAAAAAGGACACCGTGGTCTTGTTCAGAATCGAATTCTCTATCGGATGAGCTAGGTCTTGTAAGGTTTTGCTGATGACTCAAAAAAGCACTCCTTGTTAGAGTTTGATAATTACCATGGCTAACGTTATAGTCCGGATACCTCAAAACCCGTATTTGGCAGGGACGAGTAGGTGGCGGATGCAAAAACGCATGAGCTTGAGATACTCGACTTTTTTCGTTTGGTGTGGGATGCAGTGAGAAATAAAATCCATCAGCAAAATCGAAACGCGTTGTGATTCCTGTATTTGGTATTGCCGGTTTAAAACCCTATTGTTCTAGCTTCCCAGCCCCGGCGCTCCCGCACTTCGAGCTCATGTTCGACCTCATATCCCCAGCCATCTCCATCGCCGTCGTCAACATTGCCGTCCACATCTCCCTGGCCAAGATGTTCGCAAAGAAGTTTAACTATGAAGTGGACACTACACAGGTAGCATAAACTCTAAAACTTAGTGATACTAGATATTTACTTTGGATTTATTGACTATTTAATCTTTATACTAATTAACCTTATATAATTAATTAATTTAGCGAATTTGTTGTTAAGATTTACTGAGCTCAGCTTTTAAGGTTAAAGCTAATGTTGGTTTAAGGAATTCTTCGCACTCGGCCTGACCGGGATGCTGTCTGGGTTTTTCCCGGTTTTCCCTGCTGCCTGCTCGATGGCTCGGACCGTTGTGAATGCAAATTCAGGAACGAGGACCTTGGTAATTCCTTCGAACACTGAAACAGAACTTATAAAATTCAGCTCGCCTCGCTGGTCTCGTCGCTCGTCATCTTGCTAGTGATTCTATTTGCCGGTCCTTGGCTTAGGACCTTGCCAATGGTAATTTTTTTTATGGGAATTCTAGGCTTAGCAAGAACGCTATGCAATAAAGTACCGAACAATAATGTAGCACAAAGTAGTCAAAGATTCTATTTAGTGTGTCCTCGCCGCAATCATCGCCGTCGCGTTGAAATCGATGTTTGAAAAGTTTGGCCAGCTGCCAGTGCTCTGGAAGGTGTCGAAAATCGATTGCGTAAGCCATGCTTGCATTAAGCAATACTTATAGATGTTCGACTTAATTTACACAATTTATGTAACATTAAATAATATGGCAATTTTAGTCGATTTGGGTGGTCGCCTGCCTGGCTACTGTATTTGTTGACGTCACTTACGGATTGATAATTGGGATCTGTTATGCGCTATTTACGACCATCATCCGAGAGCAATGGTAGGCGAGACAGCTAAAGAGAAAGAGAGAGAGACGAGAGAGAGAGAGAGAGAGAGAGAGAGAAAGAGAGAGCCGAATGAGAGAGAGATGTCGATAACTTTAGCTACTTTCCAGGCCTCGCTGGCACGTCCTCGCCAATATTGGAGGCGATTTTGACTTCCGGGATGCCGAACGGTACCGCGATGCCTTCTTCTTCAATGTAAATTAATTCAATTTTGTGGAGACTATAAAACGGCCATAGAAATTTTCGAAATAATTAAATAAATCTTCAGGGTCTCTGCATCCTCCGCTTCGACGCGCCGCTCCTATTCACAAATGTCAACCGCTTCAAGGCCACGGTAAACAAAATGGTGGCAGCAATGGACAAGCAAATTATGACTTTGGAGACGGTATTAAAGTATTTAAAATTTCAAGGAATTTGAATTGTAGCACGAAGAGAAGCCGATTCGAAGCTTGATCATCGACTGCTCAGGCTTCACATTTATCGATTTGATGGGGGCGAATATTTTGAAAGAGGTTAGTTCAATGCCTTCGGAAATTAATTATAAAATTCTAGGTCTACATCGACATGGAACAACGCGGGGTTACAATGTACATTGCAGCAGCGAAAGGTGAGTTTTAGAGGATTTCGGTAGCATATATTTTTCCATATGTTGGCTCGAAAATAAAAGCCTCTATTTCAGCGCCACTGCGAGAAATTTTCGAATCGAGTGGCTTCTACAAAGCCGTACCAAAATCCTCATTTTACCCGACAATCTTTGATGCGGTCGCATTTGCGAGGATGAATCAGAAAGATCTTCTAATGACCGTTGATCATTCGTGAGTTTTTGAAGTGAGAGAGAGAGAGAGAGAGAGAGAGAGTGAGACAGATACGGAGATAGACGAACAAACAGAAAACGTCCAAATTCTTTTTTAGACGGACTTCCTCTTACTACTATGCAAATCATGCGCTCAAACTTGATGAGGAAGAACCTGCGGCCCAAGCACCTCTGCGGTCTTTGACTATAGCCTAGTGATGCGTAGTGCTACTGTGTTTTCTTTGCCATTTTACGGGTTTTTGCTGTGATCTCCTCGATGCAAAATGACGCGTGTTCTTAGTCACTAATAAAAGGAATGATTCGTATAGAAAACAAAGAAAAGGCAATAAAGCGCATATCAAAAAGACAGGCAGAGGCTACGCACGTTGCGTTGGAGGTTGAAAAGTTGGTCGTTCAGGCCCACAGTCGTTCGAGCGTTGGAGCGGTTGTTCAATCATCGATCCCAACGTACGGACGCATGGCTATGCGATTGATGAAAATTGTATTGGTGAAGTAGACTGCCATATGGTGTGTTTTTATTAAACGAAAGCAAAAATTATCACAATTAAGGAAATAAAATACACGGAATATTTGGGTAAAAGAAATTCCTTGTCTTCCATTCGCTTGCGAACGGCCCGGGTTACTTTGGCTTGTTCTTGCTGCCTGGTGGGCGACCAGGACCGCGTTTAGCTGTAATAAAGGTTGGAAGGTATTTAAGCGTAAAAAAATAGTGCCTAAACCTTACGCGGATCCACTTTCGGCTTGTTCTTACTGCCCGGCGGACGACCCGGCCCTCTGCGCACCGGTTCTTCGGGCTCTGAAAAGAATTGTGACAGAAGCTGAGGGAGAGAGTGTGAGAGAGTGAGAGAGTGAGGGAGTGAGAGGAGAGCGAGAGAGAGAGAGCAAGTCCTTACCATAACCTCCACCCCAGTTGGCATAAACTGGTTGACATAGGCGCTGCTGCATCATGAACATTTGCAACTGTTCTTGGCGCATCCTAGGATAATTGGCTTCTATGTATTTTTAAGACCCATACTCTCGCTCGCGAAGTTGCATGTCGCGGAGTTGTTGCATCTAAAAAGCGAAAAATACGTTAGAATATCTTTCTCTTTGGCTCTCTCTCTCTCTCTCTCCCTCTCTCTTTCTCGTTCACTCTATCCCCCTCTCTCCACCTACTACTTACTACTACCAACCTGACGCTCCGTGGCTTCACGTCGTTCCCTCTCGAGCCTTTCTTCGGTCTGACGTTTTTCTAGCAGCGCTTGTTCAGCGCGTTTCCGCTCCGCATCGGCGCGCTAAACTCGCGTGTTCTCGTTGACTTCTGGAAACTAACGTCTTTTTCCTGCTTTCGCTGTATCTCGAGCGCTTCCAACTGCTTCCTGGTGGCTTCCCGCTGCTCATGCTGGCGACGCTTCTCGCTATTCTGCGCCCTTATCTCGTTGCATTTGTGCTGGAATGGGACTTTGGATCGTCAAAAAAGCCAGTCGCACCTCAAATTCCTTTTTCAGTGCCGCCAGGCTAGCCGCTTTTTCTGTCGGACCGCCGATAAGGGGTTGAGCCTCGTAGATCTACGCGAGATTTTGCGGACCAGTCGTAAATATTCACCTTTTGGGCCTCGGTGCAAATTGTGGCGAGTCTGGCGTTAAGTGTGGTCTCAGCGGTGCCGTCGCCTCCCATTAGTGCGATGGCCTAAAACAAATTATACTTAAAAAACAAAGACAAAGGGAAAATAACGATATTGATAGATGCGAGATTCGACCTTTCGGTGACTAGGCATCGACAGGTCTCTCAAATTTAGCATGCTTTAGCGTTTCTGTTCGAGACCCAGTCGACGACGAGGTAGATTTTTACACTTGCCGGTCCCTTTAAAATGTCGATAAAACCTACTGTAGGCAGCTGAGCATTGAACTGGGCCATTGCCTTGTCCTTTGCCAAACGTAGACTATAGTCGATCGTAGCCTAACGGAAATGCGTAATTTGAAGCTCCAAATTCAAGTACCTGCAAAGCGTTGTTGACGCAAAGTGCGCTGTTGGCCGTCACGTGGTTGAGTACGTTCTAAAAAGCGGAAGTAGCTTTTTCTGAAAACCCAACAATCTGTGAACCATGAATTTCGCTTCTATTTCCCTTAAAGCTGTCCGATACCTTGACATAAGCTTCAAAAGCTCCTCCGGCTAATTGAGCTCCCAGAACTCGTCGGGGCTCGACATTCGCGACGACGTGGTTGGCGAACTGGCAGAGATGGTTGAGGAAATCCTGGTCGCAATCTGAAGGAAAATATGGAGTAGATTTCAGACTGTGATAGCACCTGAAGCTTTAATCGATCCATTAGCTCGCGTAACTGCTCCACCGGGAGCCGGAACTGTGTAGCATTCAACCTGAACATTTTCTGGGTTAAACTTGTGGATTTAGGCAGTATTTTTAGCACTTTGCTCCAATGGTATCGAGCGCTAAAATTCAGATACTAATTTTATACCCTATCAAACGCCTGGAAGACCCCGGAAATCTTGTCCTTCAGGTCGTCGGTCCGGCTGGAGGCGTTCTAAAACGTCAATTTTAATTCGGTTTTCCTGTCGCTGTCAACTTTGATCAAAAAAATTAATACGAACCCGAATTTGCTCCAGGTATTGCGGAGCGAATCCGTCACCATCACCGCCCCAGTTTCGCATCAGAAAATACAGATGCTAAATCACAGATTTTTGAAAGGGTCGATTATTTTGCAAACCTGTCCAACTTTCTGCTTCCCCGTCTGGCTCATTTCGACAAAGACGTTCATATCGACGAGATCATGGGCGTTGAGGTAGCCATTTTTGTTGAAGATCTAAATATAGGACGGATGTCACGGGAAGCATCAATTTCGCGGAGTTCAGCAATTTTTTAAAGAGGAAGGCAAGATTTGACGACCGGCAACATGCTCGACGAGTTCGATGAGAACATCAAGTTCAGTAGGTTCGGTTTGTAAAGATTTGGAACGTGTTTGGAAACCCACAAAATGCGACGATAACATCAGCGAAATCATGAAAATGATGGTGGAGTGCTTTAGCTGGCTCTGCGTGTCGAACATCCCTTGGGTATCCAGTAGCAGCACTGCTACCTAAATTTTTATATCGATTAATGGCGCTGAAAAATGCCATAATCTAAAGTACCACGTCCTTACCTCATTACCGGAAGTGTCCTTTCTCACAAAAATCTGATCCCAGACTTGTATCCCAATCGTGTGGCGCTCTGGACCGTTTTTGAACTCGATCCCGGCGGTGCCTCTAAACCATTAAAAACGTTATAATTTGTCCATTTGAGGAATAATGAAAATTGAAATCTTGTGACAACTGGATTGCTTACCCAATGATTTCATCAGGACGGAAGGCGGCCTTTCCGGCTTGCAGGGCTTTTAGCAAGATGTTGTCAAAAAATGACTTTCCCTCGCGAAAACCTCCTACTACCGAGATGACGGCCACCTAAATTTTTTTTGGAAAATTTAGGCATTTACTACTACTTTTTAAAGGTAGTGAAAAGCGCGAGAATCGACCCGATATTTGACTAGGAGTAGACAAGCCGTTTCAAAGCTGATTAGCGCCGTTAAGGAGAAAATACCTACCTTTCTACCCGCGATCTGCGACACCAAATTCTTCAGCAAGACCTCGTCAAAATTCGGGCGATCCTTCGGATCAATGTGGAAAAGCAGTCGCATCCCCATTTTTAGAGACGAGCTGAGAGGTGTGCTTTTTCCGAAATGGGCGACTGGGCGGGAGACTATGCTGGCTTATCGCCGACTTTTTTGTGGCCAATCCACCCACTTTTGGCACACTTATCAAGGCGGAATAACGGCGCGTAAGTTTCGAGTGCTTACACTGGGTTTGTGCTGATGTTTACACTGCCTTTTGCGAATGGCCTTGAAAAAAGAGCATTATGGCCAAGATCGGGCGTAACATCCTGCAAGTTCGCTTCCCGGAAAGAATGGGAGAGCGACTGTGTGAGAAACCGAGAGCGAGAGAGAAAGAGAGGGAGAGAGAGAGGGAGAGAGGGAGAGAGATATAGAGAGAGAGAGAGAGAGAGAGAGAGAGAGAGAGAGAGAGAGAGAGAGAGAGAGAGAGAGAGAGAGAGAGAGAGAGAGAGAGAGAGAGAGAAAGGGAGTAGTAACTAATAAAGAGCAAGGCATAAACGCATTTATTTAAACCCGTAATATTTATAAGTCACGGTTTACAGCAGATACTTTGTGAAATACACAAAAATCGCGGCATACAACACATTAATAGGCATGAAAATCGTTGAGCCGGCTCGGGTGGGCTGACGCGGTTGGGAGGGATGGCTTCCGCCGTAGTCGGCCCATTTTTTGTCACCGATCTAGTAAAAATTTCGTGTATTTTGAAGATTTTTCTACTACATTCCATAGCAATGAAAACTTACATCTTTCAAAACCCCAGCAATCGCAATGGCGGCTTCATTGGAATCTGATGGGTGTTGGAGTTGCTGAATATGGGCGTTCAGCGCGGCGTCAAAGTCGGATTGGGCTGAAAAATTGTTTTAAAGGGACAGCGACAGTAGGTTTACGTCAGGCATAGCTGGAATTTGTTGTTTTTTTCTTTGCACTGCTTTTTGTCGATTTCCCTTGAAACTCACACAATCCCGATTTCGCCTCCCCGGACATGTACAACTTCCGGTCGGCGTCCGAGTACAGAAACACGACCAGGTTCTGGCATTGCGGGTCGTTGGCCCACTTCTGTTTGAGCTGATCGGCAAGAGCCTGTGTACCCTAAAGAAAGACATAACTCTTTACTTCTTTTTCCAGATTAGATCCCTTGATTTTAAAATTTTATGTTGTAATATTTTTGCCATGTTTACCTGCTTCATTATGACCATAACGCCATCAATTCCTTGGCGGCTACAATAGGTCTGATCGTGTTTAGCCGATTTTGTGGCAAGTGAAACGAGTGCAGAATGCAGACGATAGCGAAGGGATTCGGAAAAGATCTAAATCTAAGTTTTTCATTTTGTTTTATTTTTACTCGATTAGGTATAATGTTAGAAGCTCTAGCTTCAAGCGTCAACAAGTTTTGTATGGCCATCCGATTTGTATAGATTACCATCGATTTGATTCGACCTTTGAGAGAGAGGAGAGAGACAGAGTGGGGGAGAGAGCGAAAAGAGTGAGACAGAGGGTTGGAGGGGGAGCGATAGAAAGTGAGAGAGAGAGGGAGTGAGAGAGACCGAGAGCGAGAGAGAGTGGTAGAGCGAGAGAGAGATGAGGGTGGGAGAGAGTGTGTGAGAGCGAGGAAGAGAGAGAAAGGGTGAGAGAGTAAGAGAGGGACTTGGCCAAAGAAAGGAGCTGATCAACCACGTTATTTCTCTACCTTTAAAATGAAGCAACCTCCTTGAGAGCAACCGGCTATGTAAAAATGCCACAACTATTTAAAAAACCCAAAAAATAAAATAACAACACGAAAAATTTGAAAGAAACTTTAAGAAGTTGTGTCACGATTCTAGTATCAAAAACTTCAAAAAACCCCCACCTCTTCCGGATCACAGGCATTTGACACGGTTCGCATCTGGCATCCCTTATAATCTTTTCGCGGATTTGGATAGGAATTGGCGTTCCAGGTATTCGCCGCAGAGCAAATACAAAATAATACAGTAAATACCGAGATTAACAGCATGATCAGCACCGAATTAGCACCTCGGAACTTTCCGGGGCAGTTGTTCCAAATTGGGGGCAAAGCGGGACGGGGGAAAATGGTCGCGATAGTGGAGCGGTTAGGCTAAAATCGATAGCCCGACCGGACAAGAAAACAAATAACACCGTTCGGGCGGAGGGACGGTATTTAAAGCGAATTGCTTAGTCAGAATGTTGCTCTTTTATGTCAAAAGGGACATAACATGTTCGAAAATGAACCAGAATCAGACAAATTAATAATTGGTGACGCCACTTTCCGTCCTTTGCGGGTTTGCAAGATCAAGGAGGAATTTCGGACGTTTCCCCGAAAACCAGTTCCCCGAAAACTACTTCCCCATAAACTAATTTAGCATGCTAATTTTTAGTATCTTTGGATCCACAGACCCGATTTCTGAATTCAAATTAAAGGACGGTCGGCGGAATGTGTCGATCCCCCGGAAGGGGCCATCATAGGGAGGGGAGAGCGGGCAGGGGAGAGCTGCAGACACATTTTCTTTTTCCTTTAAAAAACACTAAAAATTTTGCCTCCAGACTTACGCAGAAAGTTTTTGTACAACAAAAAAAAGACTGAAGACTACATCAACTTCACCGAAAAATTATGAGATTTCGAAATACACGGTTGTTAGTATGAACAAAAAAATCGCGTATGGCTAGGGGTCAAAAATTAGCATACTAAATTAGTTTTTCGGGGAACTGGTTTTCGGGGAACTGGTTTTTCGGGAACTGGTTTTTCGGAGAAACGGTTTTTCGGGGAACCGGTTTTCGGGCAAATCGTTTTCGGGAAGTGACAAATACCCATCAAACGGCCGTGGATGAGTTTTTCACATGTTTTTCCCGGGCCGCGACACACAACTCAACACGCAGCGCTGTACACAGTCTGGCACACTACGCGATACGCGTTGTATGCGCGACGCGGGGCAGTGTCATTGAATGCCGCACACAACGCAACATGCAACGCGAGACGCACCGCTCAGCGCAACGCTACGCAGCGCGATAGGCTAGGTTATACGCACATCGATGGGCCAGGTTGTACGCGGCGCAAAACGCGAGACTATAGGCGGCCTGATGGACGAGGCCATGCGCAGCTTGATGCCCAACGCCACACATCGTGCGCTACGCAAAGCAATCCGCCGGACTCGCGATAGGCCCGCGCTATGCAACGCGATACGGCACGCGCGACCCGCCTAGCCGTCCGAGTCGGTGGTAATCTACTATTGTGCCAAGTAAGTGCGGCAGGGGGAAAACCCATGATGACACTTTGGCCAGCAAAATCCATGATCCTACCTTGCCGGTCCCTTTAGTTTGTCGTGCGACTATTTCTTTCATTGTGATTCAAAAAATTTCAATTTCAAATTTCAAAAAGCTGCCTCATTTTCCGAAGCGAAACAAAATTCCTGGTGGTGTGATTCAGTCGCTTTTCTTCCTCATATATCAATTTTATCCCCGTCATTAATTAATAAAATGGGCAGCGAATTGTTGTGTCTTGACTGGTTATGCGGCCGGCTGGTATATTCGTTGTCGCTGGTTCGTCGCGAGCTTTTTTGATCGTCATATAACAACGCGTCGACCATAATGAATAACCTGGAAGGAAATAAAATAAAAAAACGACATTTTTAGGCAAGAACACATAAAAAAAAATTTTCGAGGAGCACGACTTCGGCGAAAAATAAACAAAGTGTTTTTATGGATTACTACGCACTTTTTCACTCTTAAAACTTACCACCACATCTCACAAATCCCGATAAATGTACAAAACACGGCTATCGTGATCGCAGATGGGATCATGATTTTTCTAAAACGTCAAAAAACCTTGAATTTACTTGGATTTTTCCTACCTCGATGCATCATTCTTGTACACAAATATCCGCATCAACAGTAGGTAGACGAGGAAGAACACGTAGGAAACGAAGACTAACTAAATATACTTTATTTTACAGGAATTCAGCTATTTGAGACCTGCCAAAGTACATGGAGTACATAGAAGCTTTTTCTTCGGTAATACCACGCAAAGAGGGTGACGGCGATAACGACAAGGGAGCAGGCAACGAAGACGGAAAGGCCTGAGCGTCGTTAAGCCAATTCATTATGTTAGAATTTGTATATGATTAGCGGTTTAAGATAACCTACTATCCTACTATATATAAAAAAAAATAGTGTTTGTGTGTGTGTGCCACTTTACATCCACTTCCGACTGTTTGTCCGGAGGATACCTCGATGCGGGATGAATTTTAAGGTATGTGTGATACGTCATTAGGTGCGTAATGGTCTTGAGATGACTGCACACATATCAGATTTTACAAAATTAGCTGTTTTCAACATCAAATTTAAGTTTTTGTGAAAACTTCTTTGTTAGGAATAATTAGCATAGACCGGAAGTGGGGAGTCGACTATATAAAGGGGCCGAAGAGGGGGTTTTTCATTTTTTTTGTCATCCCAATTTAGGACAAATGCAAAGGGGAGGATAAAGAGGGGGTCAGACGGGGCCAGGATTGAAAAGTCGCGAAGCGGCTTTTCAACCCTGGTTACACTTAATAGAACAATTTGGTTGAGTGGTGTGGAAAATATGTGTTCTTTTTTTTCTTTAAACAGCTCGGTTTTGTTAACTAAATCTTCTAAAAACGCTATAAAGATATTTATAATGTTAGTACTAACTTATACATAGTATACTTTAATATAATTCGTATTTAATTTTAAGTCCAACTTAGTACATCCAATATAATATTTTTAAAAGATGACGCATCGAAAGTGAAATACTTTCAGACCCTTAAACGCCAGAAGAAAGAAGAAGCGTAACGAAAAATTTCTAAAAATAGGACTTTCCCCAGTAACGTGTTTTTTCATAGTGACTATGGACACCTTTTTTCTAAACCTACAAGCAGATATCCGTTGTCCTCGCCCCTCCAATTCACGCGTAAAAAACAGCACCCCGTCGTTGACCGCAAAATCAATGGCGAACATGGCGCACCAGGCTATAAAGACGGCGTAGAAAATTTAAACCGAAATTCTTAAACAGCAGAGCAAGTATTAAATTACTTACCCATCATAATAATCTCTATCACGCAAATCAGGGGGACCGCATCGCGCAGACTCACACAGCCCAGGCAGCATTTGTGGCGAGACAGCGGCGCTGAAAAAGGATCTAAAAGAACGTACGGCATGGATTTAACCTAGTACTTTTTTAATATTAGTAAAATGCAATTGTTTTCGTTTTTCCCAGCCTATTAAATTGCAATTGTTGGAATCGCCCAAATAAAGTGGATTTTATTGTTTATGCAGGCGAACCGAGGCCGGAATTTTACTTTATGGTTTTTATGATATCTTTTCCATGTAATATACCTTAAATAGCAGGCCGTTTTTTGTTTATCACCTTTATAAAAAAAATCCAAGTTGCTCCTAACTTTAATTTATGACGAGAGCGATGCTGCCACGCCTCTAGTGCCATTTTTTCATACGCTACCGGTATACTCACAAATTCTCAAGCTCCAGCGGCCCTCAAATTTGGTGTGTTTGTAGTTCCGGTTCGACACAGGTCCGATGAAGCTGACCGAATCGATGGTGAGCACTTGATTTTCCATCAATTCTGGCCACTGCTCTTTGGCCATGCGCAGGATTCGAATCGGGGAGTCCGGGCATTCGGGGGCAAGCATTTTTCGGGTATCGAATAGGATCCGAAAATGAAGTAGCAGCTTAGAAAATCGGTTTGAAAACGTCGTGACTTCGGCGCTGAGAAAAACCTTAGCTCAGGAAGTCGGCTTTAAATCTTGACCAGAAGCGAGCACGCCGAAAAAAATAAACTGAAGCTCAGCTCAAATTCTCCCCCGGAAATCTGAAGCTGAGAGCAGAAAGTTTCGGCTCAATAAGGCGGCTTTTCTGCTAGCATAAAAACGACCGGAGGCTAAAGGGTCGGCTTGAAATTTTTAGTGCAAATAAGTAAGCAAAAAAGCCAAACAACGTTTTCAGAAGTTGCGAATGGGCTTCAGAATACGTAGAAAATCCCGGAGACTAATAAACCAAGTTGCTACTCGAGTCGGGTGAAATTAGGGCTATTGCAAACACGGGTGGCGGCTTTTCACTCAAAGCTCGAAATCAATTCGCGAGCGCCCGTCACGAGAGGCATCTGGAGTGGGTTATGAGCGCGAGAACTTTTTGCGGCTTTTTGTGTGAACAAGGAAAGGGGGAGGCATCTGTTCGATGGACTTCTTACCCAGATTGGATGTCCCGCCGGTTTTAAGGATTCAGCCTCCGGAAAAACACGTCTAGGGGCGAATTTTTGATGTGTAAGAATTGTGTTTTATATGCACGCCCGGAGTCTAGAGTTCCAGGATAGAACGAAACTATGAAGTACTTTTGGATAGGTCAATAGGTCGGAAATGCCTTTTCTGTCTAATGATGGAAGGTTAGGACTACGTGGCATTACTTAGCAACACTAAAATTTCCTGTTCTTTGACCAGCGATGCGGATTAGTTTGGCGCAAACAGCTTTGAAGGATTTTTTAGGTTGCCAAAAAAAATTTAAATGCTCGACTTCGATGTTTGCCTGCAGAAATTCGGATTTCCGGAGACCGCAAATCTAGGTCAAAACCTAAAATCTACAGAAAAGCTAATAAATCACGCAAATTATTGCATCATAAATGAAACATTGTGTTAAATAATGTAATCACATAAAATAATGCTTTACATAACCCAATAAAAATACATTTTATAAAAATACCTTTTATAAAAGTAAAAAAATAAAAATACATTTTTGTCAAATTTTACATTTTTAAAATTCTGGGAGTAATGGCACCTGTTATTTAAACCGATTTTTCAAAATTTTGAATTGGCTGGGCATCCCTTTTATGTAGAAAACCTAGAAAAAGCTCCAGCTTCAACCCTCAAAGTTCGCCGGCAAGTTGCCAATTTCAAAGCCTGGAAGCGCCGAGGATTTCTAGGCTCCAAATTGGAGGTTTCGACGCAAGCCGCCCGAAATTTATCTAGATTTTTTCATTGCAATCGATCAAAGCCAGCTGCCTTAAATACCCTCATTATAACAAAAACATATTCTCAAAACCACTGTAAGTACTTGGTAACGATCTAGAAACTTCAAAACCCACCAATTAGAAGGATTTTCCGCAACGACTGGCCGGCTAGGAGAAATGAGGCACGGAGTGACGATCTTCTGGAGTGTCGTCGATGGTGGAAGGTGAGCTAAAAAAAGCTGTAATAAATACCGATAAAGCAATACATCAAAAACTCTCAAAAACTGGATTTTAACAGCTTCAAACAAAGGCTTGCCTACCCGAGCAGGTGGGAACACCTCCAAAATCGGCAATAACATTCGATGGGGGATAGAATGGAGGCTTTTGGGCCCTTTCTAGGACCCACGCAGCGAGCGGCCCGGGTGAATATTCTATTTAAAACATTCGCTGGTCGGCAATTTTTTGGGGAGTTTCGTGTTCGGGGAGGGAGAGCTCGCAAAGCGCGAAACCGTGAAGTGCCACTTCATGGGGGCTCTGGGCCTGGGATTTAGGCTTTTCTTGTAAAAGTTAATTTCTGGAGTTAGACGGGGGCTTCTGAGACGTCTTGGGTGTTTGGTTAAAAGTTAGCCCAGCGAAATTAGATTAAAACGGAATTTAAGGATGCGTGATTTCACCTTGAGTGCTAGTATAGACGATTGGAAGAGCGTGTGTGAAAAAGAGGGAGCGGGAGAGGGAGAGAGAGAGCAAGAGAGAGAGAGAGAGAGAGAGAGAGAGAGAGAGAGAGAGAGAGAGAGAGAGAGAGAGAGAGCGAGAGAGAGAGAAAGAGAAGAAAGACAGAGAAAGAAAGCGAGAGGTAGAGAGGGAGAAGGAAAGCGAGAGAGCAGAGATAGAGAGAGAGAGCTACAGAAAAATAGACAAAACAGGGACGAATTTCTAAAAATGCACTTTGCTTGCGTCGAAGCGCATTTTCGACCTCAAAACCTTTTTTATCCAATTTATCGAAATCCGCTTTATTTAACAAAAGAAACATAATATGTTAAAGTATTCAAATAGAGTAGCGTTTTAAGAAAGATCTCAAGAACCAAAAAAGACAGCAGCCCTGAAAAAGCGCTGGCGAATGTAGCAGGTGGGCTCCGAACCGACGAACCCCCCAAGGGACATTCACGACGAGGGGGAAATGCATTTCAGGAAATGAACTCCTTTCCGAGGCTAAAAAGAAGCACAAGGAGTTGTCGCCCGGGACCGGCGGCTGATGGAGTGAATTTGGTGGGGGCCGGAAGCAGGTCTAGTCACTTGCAAAAAAAACCCGAAAATCGCTCCGGGGGATTTTGAAGAGTGATCGTAATGTATAGTCATGATTTCACTAGAGGTCAAGGAATTTGCGGAAACTGTCCAGTTTCTGGATTCTGGGGTAAATTCCAAGGAACACCGAATTCTGCTGTCAAAAGAACACCTTTCAAACGCTGGAAAAGCTGACCTTGGAGCTGAAAGGGTGTCAAAGGTGAGTGAGGAATGGAGACAATTTCCCGGTAAGGCCAGGAAGCGTTCCCTACGTTTTGGAGAAAACATAACGAAAATAGATTTTTCCAGATGTCTGGAAATCGGATTTTTTCTCAAATAATTGGGAAAATAAAAGCCATAAATAGAACGCGTTTAGAAAACTCTTAAAATTACCTGCTCTCCCAAAAAGGCTTCTGACGGTCGCGGTGGGTGGCAACCGGATGGGGCCTCGGAATAGCTGTCGTAAGCCTTTTTGCCGAATCCATCTTCTAACATGATGAACCCGCTGAAAAAGTTCATTTGCGGCTTTGTGGTAATGCATAGAAAAATGCAGTAAAAAAAATAGGACAGTTGACTCGTATAGAAAACGATGGTGTTTGTTTTTTCAGGGGCTATTGCTAGTCTAATTTCAATAAGATTGGAAAGCTAATTTTCAGCAATTCTGGCAACTTTCGAAGTTTTCTGAAGGTTCGGAAGTACTGTAAAGTAGTGATTCCATCCCGATGCTTTTAAAAAATAATCATCAAAGTGCAAAAATATTTAAGCAAGAAACCCCACAAAAATAATATAAAAATTCAATCCAAAATCTTTAGCCCCCGATACCCGTTGCTCGGCTGCTGCCAAAATGAGAAGAGTTATGGCTTTGGGCTGCCCGCTAAGGAATCGGGCCCACGATTTTCGGAAGGCCAGCCAAAAAAGGGGCCGTGAAGCTGGCGTGACGCGGGTTGAGGAGCAAAAACGATCCGAGAGAAGCGAGGCGTGGGCTTAAAGCGTTCCCAAACGAAGAAAGAGTTTAGAGAAGTGGCTGAAATTGAGGAGGTGCTTTATAAATAAACGAAACATTTCTGGAATTGAAAAAAGCAGAAGATTGTCATTTAGAATTTGAGGCCATAGTGCCATCCATAGGGCTGCAGACAACAGGAAAATTCTGGGCAATGAAATATAATGTGCTACAGCCCCGGTAAAAACCAAACCATATAAGGGAAGTCCTGGTATAGAGTATAAAAATATAATTTCGTTGCGCAACTAAAAAATAAAAAAACTCGTCGAGGTACAAATCAGTGGCCCAGACCGCTCCGGCCGTCGAGGATTCCACCAGAGAACGCCATTTTTGGTGATGCAAATTTCATTTTTGGACCCTTGCCTGGGCCCGGCTGGGCCCCCCGACACATCCCGGCCAACACTTCTGTGGCCACCCGGCAAATTGACCTCAAGAAAACGGAAAAGCTCAACGTGCCAAGATGTCAGAGTTCGGCGGCGGAAATGGATGGTAAATAGGCGTTTTCGTTTGATTAGTAGAAGTAGCGTAACGGAGTTCCGCTCCAAATGATCAGCCGTCAGAATGATGTGAGAGCACTCATTTTGGGCTTTATTCAAGGGCAATTTTTAGCAAACAGACCTGTTACATACGCTCTTGTTGATTTTAACAGCTTTCCCGTCAGCCACCAACGCCACATCCGCTTACGCGCGTCATTAAAAATTCAGAAAGCTCAAAAATGATGTTTTCAGACGACACACTAAGCGTGAAATTGAATCTTGCTTTCCCAGTAAGATTCAAACTCTAACATTTCAAAGACCTCCTAG